TTTTTTTTTTTTTTTTTTTTTTTTTTTTTTGAGTTTTCGACTTTAATGACGTAGAATCAAACAACAACATCTTCAAAATACTGTCCATGATTCAAACATTTGACATAAAAAAAATATTATAATCAAAAGTGGTGGATAGGGCACTATTTACCGTCTAAAATGTCAATAGTTCGACACAAACAAAAAAATGATGAATATACAATTAGAGACAAGGTAGAAGCTACTTCTCAACCAACAAGCAATAAAGACAATGGACAAAAGACTGATTCATCACAAAATCATAGAAAATACCAAAATGGTGACCAAAGCAAGGTCCAAAATTCTATTAACTTGTCATTTGAGGCAAAGAAATGGTAAGAGAAAGCATTATTTAATACTCATGTGTAAATTAAGTAATATGCTGTTTTGACTTACAAATGCCACGTGCATTAGAAACAAGTCTTCTTTGTCCAGACTGTAGCTCTTGTTTCCATTATATTTTGACAATTGCACCTTCCCTAGAAAATCCTCTGTTATTTAAGACAATGGAAAATCAAAATCAATACTTTCTGTAATTCTACTGAAATATAAACCATAATGAAATTTAAGCAATTTGATTCAGTTTATGATACTATTACATTGATATTTGAATAACGTTCATAAACCATCAATCACTAAGAATTAGAGCAATGGATCCTTCAACGAAATATGACTATTTACACTTGCAAACGAATCAACATTTGGAAGAAAAGATTTAAAACATAGATAAGTTAGATCATAAGTTGAAACTGGCCAGAAGAGAAAGAGATGGAAATCGAAGTAAGTTACATCGCACCGCACCCAATTAAATAATCATAACAAACAAGCATTGCCCTCCAACTTCTCCAATCCATTTCTATATAAAAGTATCAGTAACGACCAGGCCATTAGCTTTATTCTGATTTGGTAATCTTTCTCCATTTGCTGATAGGAAGAAGTTCTAAAGGACAACAATGGCTAGAGCACTGGTCCTGCTTGTACTAGCCATAGTGGCATCCTGTGCCTTGGCACAGACCAAAACCGCAGAGACCACCCATGTGGTCGGAGACAGCTTGGGCTGGGTGGTTCCCCTTGGAGGCCCCATTGTCTATGCCACTTGGGCTGTCTCCCACACCTTCTTAATTGGTGATATCTTATGTAAGCTCAAACTCTCTTATCAATCTCTTTATGCACTTTGAATCCAATTGTTTGAGATTTTGAATCCATAATAGTTTTCAATGTCAAAAGTTATGGCAGTTCTTGATTTTTAGTATCCAGAACAGTTCAAAGCATTTAAAACCGTCTCAAATGAGATGGATATCAAAGTAGTCATCTCTGATCTTTGTTTCTTATTTGTACTGACAATTGTGGTTGTTTCTGAATCTTTAGCATATTCATAACTGTTCTAAGCAAGCTGGTTTGCATAATCAAAACCATCCAAAAGAAGAAAGCTTGGCTTTGACAATCAAATTAGATCATCTCTGATCTTTGTTTCTTCATATTTGTTTTCACAATCTTATCTTGTTTATCAGATGAATGTTTTATTTATGATTTTCAGCAAAAGTTCAATATTGAAAGATCATAAGACATTCTATAGTGATCTTTGTGCAACATTTTCAGTGTTCAATTTCACAACTGGACAAGAAGATGTAGCTAGAGTGACAAAGGAAGCATTTCTAACCTGCAATACAACCGGTCCAATCAGCCTCAGAGACACTGGTCCAGCCAATTTTACGTTGGATTCACCGGAGGAGTACTATTTCATTGGCACTTTGGACAAGCACTGCATCTTGGGACAGAGATTGGCCATCAATGTCACTGCATATCCCGGCCCGGCTCCTGCCCCAGCTCCGCCTCCAGCTCCAAGAGGGCCGAGGGATTACACCGTCGGCGACAAACTCGGTTGGCTCATCCCTCCCGGGGATCCTCTCGATCTCTACTATGAATCATGGGCTTATAACAAAACTTTCTTTGTTGGTGACACCTTAGGTAAGTGTAGATTTCATTGACACAATTTATCAAACACCTTGTGTGCACTCAGTAAAGAAACCCCCCAAAAACTCGTCAATCATTGAAATTAAATTCATTTTGCAGTTTTCAACTTCTTCAATGGATCCGACGACGTTGCTGTGGTGACAAAACAAGTGTTCGATTCCTGCAACATCACTTCAACTATCGCAGTTTTCAACTCAACTCCGGCGAACATCGCCCTGAATGCCACCGGCGAGAATTACTACACCTCCACCTACGCCAAACACTGCATATTAGGACAAAAATTAGCAATCAACGTAACTGAACACGCCACTTCCGGCTCCGCCCCTTCTCCTTCGTCCACTGCACACCCACCCTCCATTGCGGTCTCTCCTTCTTCCCCGCCCGGCAGAGCTCTGGCTCCTTCTCCGAACACCTCCGCCCCTTCTCCACCGGCTATTGCACATCCACCCTCCATTGCGGTCTCTCCTTCTTCCCCGCCCGGCAGAGCTCTGGCTCCTTCTCCAAACACCTCCGCCGCACCGATAACTGCCGCCGGCCACCCCTATTTTGGTGCTTTCGCGATCTACGTCATGGCCTCGGCAGTCTATTTGTGAGGAAAGCACGATTATATTCAGGGAAAAAAAAAATCTAAATTAATAAAAATAAATTCTGTATTTTGTCTTCTTGAAATTTCAAAAGTTTCAATTATTCTGTTAATTTTTTTTTAATATTTTACGTCTAATAAAATTAAAATTGGAGCATTTTTTAATATTCAAGATTATAAGTTGTGTAATTGAGGGTGTCACATGAATTCGAATGGTTGGAGAAATCTTTTCACAGCTCAGCTCAACTCAACCCAACCCTCTATTTTATGATTGAATTGTCGAGTTATTATTTCTTTTAAATTATTTAAAAAGAATTATATTTATACCCTGTAAATATTACATTAACAACTAAATCTTATAAAATTTAATTATCAAAGATTCAAAAGTCACAACTCTAACATTAATTACAAACGTTAAATATTCTTAATTTTCATAATAAATAAACGTTAAATTGTAACCTTATTTTGAAGTTGGTAGAATTAACTCAAAATCAATTTTGTTAGACACGTATTAAACATGGTTTAATTTTAAAAATTAAATTTATAATTTAATATATGATATTAATTATTTTACAAGTTATTTGTTGTCAAGTGTGTATATGCGATTGCTTTTTCCATAAAATTGGCTCTCAACTAAAATACAATATAAATTAAATAATAAATTTATTGTTTTAAATAATAATAATAATAATTCATAATAATTATGCATGTGACTAGTCAACCATTTCCACCTTGTCCATGCTAAGCCAAAGTTAAAAGTTTGGTCTAACACCATGGAGTCAAACTCACCTTCCTGAGTTGGATAGACCTCATTTAATTGTTCGGGTTAGTTGAATCGGACCTAACTCGGTTTGGATTAAGTTGAATATGTCGAGTAGGTCGAGTTTTTCGGGTCATTAAGTTTTTTGAACACTCCTACAAATGTGTTCAATATAAACCTAGCACGGGAAGCCTAGATTTTTAAGCATCTAAACCCGTGGCAGCTTATCGTCACCGTCCATATCATTCACACGTGTCCTTCATCCAATGGCTTCTTTTACACGAATGTTTGAGATCCTAAACTCTATAAATACCCAAAAAGTCTCTGTTTTTCTCACCAAAACCACAAAAAACTCAAGAGTTTAAAGAAAAAAGGCAATCTGAGAACACAAAATCATGGCCGTAGGATTTAATCGGACGGCGGTTCTCCTCCTCTTCATGGCCGCCGCATCGTGGCAGTGCTCTTCCGCCGCCACTTATACTGTCGGCGACGCATTGGGTTGGACTGTCCCGCCTATTCCTACCGCCTACTCCGGGTGGGCTTCCGATAAAACGTTTGTTGTCGGAGATATTCTTGGTAAGAAAAAAAAAAAACGTTAAATTAATTTATTTTATTAATTACGATTATTATGAAATATACCACATAAAAAATTGTTTTTATATAATAATATTTCTAAAGTCGAGATAATTAATAGAAAAAAAAATCTATTCTTCAATATTGTTGGATGAAATTCATGGTATCAGAATCATGTCCTAAACTGATTCATGTTAATTGAATCTTTAAATGTTGAACAAAGTCGAGGCTCCTCGAAGACATAGTAAAAAATGACTAAGACTCCAAAAGAAAAAAAGTTAAGTCTCGATTAAGAGGAGACGTATTTTGTTCGAGAGGAGGTGTTGGATGAAAGTCTCATATATCATATTATTGTGAAGAGTGTGTTGGACGATCGAAAGCTGATTGATTTTGTGCAGTTTTCAACTTTGTTAACGAACGACATGACGTAACGGAAGTGACAAAAGGTTCTTATAATTCTTGCAATGGTAGCAATCCGATCTCCGTGGAGACCAAGAGTCCAGCAAGGATCACACTCCTTTCTGGCGGTGACCACCATTTCATGTGCTCGTTCCTTAGCCATTGCAACGATGGTCAAAAGTTGTCCATCACCGTCAGAGCAACCTCTTCTTCTGCTCCGTCACCCTCTCCCTCTCTCACCGCCGGCCTCACTACACCTCCGCCCTCAATCGCGACGCCTCCATCTGACAACATCCCTTCAACTCTATCTCCGACTACCGCCCCACCGCCTCCCAGCACCGCTACATCGCTCCGAACCTCCACCTTCTCCGCCTCTATTCTCGCCGTCGTCGTCGCTCTGCTGTATTAGCCGTCGTGGCGTTAATTAATTAATTCGGTTCCGATGTCGTAGCATTTTTTTTATTTTAAGGTTTCTTCGTCTCAATATTTAATTGTAAAAATATAAATTATAAATTTATTAGGATTATTTTCTTAAGAATATAAACTTATTAAGCTTTCTTTTTATTTTATTTTTTATATATATATTTTTTAAAATCTTCATTTAAAAAAAAAAAATTAATGGATGATCTCTATTTAAAAAAAAACATTAAATATTTCATAACAAAAATAAATTAATTTCTAAAAAACTAATTTCATATATTTATATTATATATCGATATATAATATAAATGTGGAGCCGCATGGCCGGGATTGAGGTGGGGTCAAAGATAAGATTGGAAAATTTAATCTCTTTGTCTTTGACCATTTAGCTAATAGAGAAAAATATCTCAGGCTCTCTCTCCCATACCTAGATTAAACAGGAATTCTCTATCCCATCGGGAGAGAGTGCTCGTAGTATATCGAACGTACTAGTTAAATGGACATCCATAGTTGAATGGGGAAGAGACTTTGAAAATCTAAATGCCTCGAGCTTGATATAAAACTAACAGTCACATTGTAGCGATCTCCTCGAATAAGTTATCTTTATCAAAATAATTAAATTTTTTAACCACACAACTATCAATTCGATTATACCCAACTAAACACAGCTTAATTGGTTAAGACATGTACTAACAATAAGTTAGATGCTCGAATAAATATGTGGTTGAATGCCACTGATGTAAATTTCCCATGTAAAATACTAAAATCCAACAAAAAGTAAATAAAGGGAAAAAAAAAAAAAAGCCAAGGCGTGTTGTTTGTGGCCGTGTGTCAGATGTCTCAATCATGCTTGTCCAAAACGCGTCCTCCATGGCCGCATGTTTATTTCAAACCTTTTTTACTTGCTTTCATGTTAGATGGGTCTTTACTGTTCTTGTTGTGTCAATAAGTGTACGATCACCAAAACCATGTCTACATCCTCTAGAACTAAAATGCCCCAAAATGTGCTATGGAGAGATATGACTAATTGTCCATTTTTCCTACCCAGATTATATGCTATTAAAGTTATGGTTGTTGCTTACTTACTTTTAACCTATAATATTGTATTTTTTTTTTTTCAAATTGTATTCAATATAGTTTTTCGTTCACGTTTTCCAAAACATTTCTCTCAAACGTGACCCAAGGCTCAATGTTATATCAAAGCTGTCCACAAAATCTGACTTTCATACGGTTGACTAGTTCATTGGGTTAGAACAAATGTGCCACAATTGTTGTCCTGCTACTACAAAAGTGCGATTGTGACACGATGAGGCTCAAAGTGAGAAAAAGGAAAGGAACGAGCTTGAAAAGAAAATAGGGACAACCTGCGAACACAACACAAGGAGCAAACGGCCAGCACAATGAGCTTGTTTGGTGTGTGATCGCTTTGGTATGTGCCAGCCAGCCTGCAACCATCCATGTAGTTGGAGGCCATGAAGGCTTGAGAATCCTGAAGGATATGTCCTTATACGCCGGGCTGCCTATAAGACCTTCACTGTTGGTGACAAACTTGGTAACAAAGCCTTTAAACCCTCCTCCAATGCCTGTCAGGTTCATAACAAGTGTTAATTTTCAACTCTTAGAAATCAACGAAACAGTTGTACAATCAACAAAACATGTCCAAATCTTGTCGAGATGGCCTTCGAAATCTTGTCTAGAGCTCAAAAACTCGAAGGGGACGACCAGTTCTTGGGTCTAAGAAGCTTGCAAAACTTGAATTTGTATGCATTGTATTGGTTTCATAAGGCACAAAAGGTGAGTTATATGAGTTAGTAAACTTGTAGAGAAGCCAGCAGAATGTCACATTTTAACTGAGATGAAACTAATGGGAACAAACAGTACAGAACTAAAGACGACCTTTTTCAACACCTAATGACCTTTCTCTTGTACAATTTGGCTCAAACTCAACTGGGTTTTGTTTTCACAAAATTACGTTCTGTTCTGTTCTAACTGCATAAATAGTCGAGCCGACACCAGAGCTATATATGTAAATATGGTTTTCTTTTTCTCTTTTGCTTACAGAATTCGAATATATCACGCATAATGTAGCTGAGGTAACAAAGGATAAGTATGAAAACTGTACCAAGGCAGGACCATTTCATGGCACAAGCCATGTCACTCCCCAGTGCTCGTTCAGGGAGAAGTTGAGCGTTAGCGTCGGGTCTAATAGCTTGACAACACCAGCAGCACCGGCACCAAGCTCTGCTCCTGCCTCTCCTGGCAAAAGCTTTGTATGCAGCTATGTTCACCATAGGTAGCAGCATCTTCTTCCTACTACATCAAAGTATTTTATGTGCTGAAACAATGTGTTAAGAAGTGGGATTCCTGGATTTTGTTATTTTCCAGCCTCGCAGAATTCTTATCAGTTTCATTCACAATCATTGGAATAAAAATAATGAACATGTTTGTAAGAAAATTCATGGCAGATTTCATATCAGCAAGTTCCCATACATGACATGTTTCTCTGTTTCAATGACAAATCTAAATGGTACCAAGTGAGTTGGGGGAAGCTAAAAGAGAATATTTAAGGTAACAATCAATCAGTCAGTGGCAGGAAAAACAAATGTGCAGCCACCCATGAGCAAAAAAGTTAAAATCATATATGCTTCCCAGATGAACAAGGGTTGAGTCTTATACACTGAAAGATTCAACGAAATCAGGGATACAGTGATAGAAGATCAATACAAACATAAGATTAAGATATGTTAAGCAAATTCAGATCCATTTCTCATCAGAGGCAATGTATATTTATAAGAAAAATGACATATGGAGCCTTTTGAAGATTATGTAATTTTGTTCAGTTGAATGTGATCCAAAATATGAAAATTTACCTAATTTAAACATACTCTGATCACATTCTTTTATAATAGGGGAAAATGTAACATCTACCAAAGCTTTGAACGCTTAAGATATTTTGGAGATACCCTTCAAAGCCTTGGATTTAAACCCTTCGACATAAAACCCTGTCTCCCACCGCTGGCTTTAGGGTGAGTGAAACTTCCTCAAAACTAGTGAGGTATGTTGTAATAGCCCAAGTCTACCGCTAGCAGATATTATACTCTTTGGGCTTTCCCTTTCAGGCTTCCCCTCAAGGTCTTTTAAAACGCGTCTACTAGAGAGAGGTTTCCACACCTTTATAAAGAATGTGTCGTTCTCCTCCCCAACTGAAAGAGGTGGACACGAGGCAATGAGCCAACAAGGACGCTGGGCCCCAAAGGTGGTGGATTGGGCGGTCTCACATTGGTTGGAGAAGGGAATGAGTGTCAGCGAGGACGCTGGGTCCTGAAAGGGTTGGATTGTGAGATCTCACATCGGTTGGGGAGGGGAACGAATCATTCTTTATAAGGGTGTGGAAACATCTTCCTAGTTGACGAATTTTAAAAACCTTGAGGGAAAGCCCGAAAAGAAAAGCCTAAAGAGGACAATATCTATTAGCAGTGAGCTTTGACTGTTACATATGTCAGGAGCATAATACTAGTGTGGGCCCTTGACACCCCATTATATACCTAGATACATACATACAAACATATGTATGTATATACACCCCATATCTATGTAAGTAATGTATGTATGTACATATTTCTCGTCGAGACAATACAATTTCACTTATTCACTTATTGATGCACATCATATAATAACTTGGAGGAAAAGTACCAGGAGAATCTCACCCCACAAAAGATGCAACTTCAACTCCAGAATAAGGAGAAATCAATAACAGTCAGCAGCTCAGAGTGAGATACAAGACATCCTCAATGAAAGAAAGCAATTATTTTAATATTCTCTTGATAAGAACAATCCTAATCCTATGCAAAAAATAGTTAATCAAAGTATTTGAACCACACGACGCAAGCAAATTTAAGTACATGAATCAACAAAATATCGAAAACGCATCCCAGTTTGGAAGTTGTGATATTGGCTCTCAATATACATTACAACAAGTTAATCCATGTAACTGGGAAAAGAATAAATATAGATTCAAGCAAGGTGGCCCTAAGCTCTCGTTTCACAAATATACACATACGTGTACGTATATCAGTGTGTGCCCTATCGTGTGATGTATTGAAATGAGTATGTATTAGGATAAAGGAACCTGCAAAAAACAATGGGAAAAATAGTCTAATTTATAAGATATTTCATATCTTAGATAAATGGTACTAAAGTTCGAACTCGTAACCACACGAATATTCAAATTTATTCATATAATGTAGGCATTTTACCAGATTGATGAACGAACAGCTGTAGAAATTCCTAGTATTCCTAGTATTCTTAGCATATGAGTAAACAGAAAAGGCATTGAAGCGATAACTTCCCTACCCTGCTTCCCGAGTTGCAATGCTGGAAATGTCCGGTTTATGTTTGTAAGTAATGGAAGCATGTCACAAAATACCAAAAAAGATGAACACCAAAGAATTCAATACATTGGGTCTCAGAGAAGGCAGAGAAATGATCTTATTCTCAACGAGCATAAACAGCACGGTACCACAGTTCATGGAAAGTAATTCTCATGTAGCACAAAAGAACTTGTAACTCAAGATTGAATTCATTTCTATCGTTGTATTAGTTATGTGCCTAACCGTTCGTACTTATACTATTCGGATTTCCATTCTAACCATGTTGGTTAATGATTCACTCAGCTCAATGTCACACCTCACATGTTTGGAGGGCCTGAACTCTAAATATACAGTTGGTTAGTTGAGACTCAAATATTATAAAATTTCAACTAAAGCTACAAAAGGAATAGTTCTCATTGGTGACAATACGACATCATGGGAAACGTTAACATTTCCGATCTTATATGCCACGACATGGAAAAAACTGTCTACAAACCTGACCCTTTAGTTTGACTGTTAAACCAGTAAGATGGAACCTCAGGTGGCAAACAAAATGGTTCGTCCTCCTCATTGCTACTAAAGGGATCTTTGCGTTTTTTGGTGGAAGATTCTGAATTCCAACCCCCGCCATCTGAACTCCACATATTTGAACAGGAACCCAAGGAGTCAAATGCAGTTCTGCTTGGGAAAAAAGTGAACTCTTTATTCCCGTAAATGGTTTGATCGTGAAATTTGTGCCTCTCGTGGGAACTGCTTGGAGCAATGTCCCCAGTTTCAAGAGCCCAAGCTTTCCCAGTGCTCACACATGGCTGGGAAGGTAAACCCAACCTCAAAGATAAATCACATTCTGTGTCTGGTAGCTTTTCTTCTCTGGCTGTGATAACTTCTGGTGGAAATCTGCTCATAGCATTGCCCGTTTTGCACGAACGAAGGCAGTGCTCAGCAGGCGGCTCGGTACTTGATACAATCGGTCTACCCAAAAATATAGTCTGTTGGTTGGCATCTGCAGAAATCTGGGAGCCTAAGTTGGGCTCTTCAGTTGGACAACGAAATCCATAATACAATGGATAAACAGATCCCAAGTTAAGTGGGGTATTGGTCTCAGTCATTGAATAACTGTTATGAACAACTGGGACATTCTCAAGCAAGAAGGCAGGGTTACTTGGAATGGTGGGGTTGTTATGTTGTTTGGGGTTCATAGTCTTGGCTCTTGCAAAGTTCAACTGGTTGGCAGGGTGTAACGACGATGTCGGTAGGCGTCTTTCGTCGGTAGCTTTATCCAATGTGGGTTCTTGTCCCCTTGGAGTAAGATAAGTCCTTGGGTTACTATGCCGTTGGCTTCTAGATGCTCGTACCGGGACGCAACCGAGGTTAAGTGCAGCTGAATTCCACAGAGAAGCAGCAAAGAAAGACAAAACAGGTATGACTAATGGCTTGTGTTCATACAAACAGATGACAAAGAACAAACTAAACCTAATACATTTCCAATAAGAATCAAGAACTTAAAATGCAAGAATGTTTTTACCTTCAACACATGGAGGCAAACGGTCACCACTTTCAGTGGTTTCATCTCTACGAATTATGGTGTTAACAGCATCATTTAAACGATCCCAAAGCGTTTCAAGATTCATGTACTCAGCCTAAGCAAATCACGGGGATGAAACATGACAAGATCCGAATTATGAACAAGACGCAAGGGTTAAGGGGAAAAAAATACCTCGGAATTAGCTTTAGAATACATGATTTCTTCAGCTTTCAAAACAACAATCGGCAATTTCTCCTGCCATTCCTTGTTCTTCTTAGTAGCAGGGGTATGATTCTCATTGACAACCCTGATCAAACACATGGTGTGCAAATTCATCAAAATGTGAAAAATACAGAATCAAAGTCGAAGAGAATCAGCAAAATTAAACAAGACCCAGAACCTGAAAATTTGCTGAATAATGGAACCTCTCATGGGTTGGTGCCTATCGCTGTGCCAAGCTCTCCGCACGCACTCGTACGGTCTCGGGCCTGGCCGCGGCATCTTCGTTCCCCCGTGGCTACACAAAATCTTTGACGAAGAGAAAAAGAAATGAACAAAAGATTCGAAACGCTCAGCTCCCAAAAATCAGTGACGGGAGATGGGTTTGGATGATTTGCATTGGCTCGCTGCGTTTTAATCCTCCGTCTTGGTTCCCCAATTAGCAATGGGACAGTTTATGCTGGGTTTGGAGAGAGAGGGGGGGTTGGGGGGAGAGAAAAAGGGCAGGTTTCTCATTCCTTGTCTTCTTCAATAATTTAAGATAGTTTACCCCCAAAGTTTGATGTTCAATCTAGTTGTTTTTGTGTATAAGGAGTCTCACCTATTGGGGAAAATAGAGTGGAGGGGGTGGAGGGGTGGGCTTCAAAAAGTGCCCTGTAAAATCTCCCTGCCACAACATTCAGCAATTGGCACATCAATTACCTCCAGCATGGGCCACTACTACCCATCATCTCATCAACACTTTGAATCTATCTTCAAAATGAGCAAACCAACTTTCAAATCCAATCCATTTCTACCTTCAAAATATTACCTTTTTTTCACCTGGGTCTCTCCATTTTCACCCAATTCATACCCTTTACTTCGAAAATAAGTAGTGGGTTATGTTGGAAGAGGTTCACCCTCCTCCGAGGTGAAACCTCTCAATCCATGACACTCGTTCCCATCTCCCGTCGATGTGGGACCTCCTAATCCACTCCCCTCCCTCCCCTTTGAAGTCTAGCGTCCTTGCTAGCACACCACCTCGTGTCTCTCCCTTTCGTGGCTCAATCTCTTCGTTGACACATCGTTTGGTGTCTAGCTCTGATACCATTTGTTAAAGTCCAAGCTCATCACTAGTAGATCCTGTCCTTTTTTAGCTTTCTTTTCAAGTTTGTTCTCAAAGTTTTTAAAACATGTCTACTAGAAAGAAGTTTTCACACCCTTATAAATAATGTTTGGTTCTTCTCCCCAACCGATGTGGGATCTCACAATCCATCCCCTTCGAGATCCAGCGTCCTCGCTAACACTAGTTCTCTTCTCTAACCGATGTGGGACCCGTAATCCACCTCCTTTTGAAGGCTAGCGTCCTTGCTAGCACACCGCCTCGTGTTCACCCTAGCCTTTTCATTGGCACATCATCCAGTATTTGGTTCCAATTCACTCCCTTTCACTTCAACCATTTCGTTAAACCCAGTGTCTTGCTCTAATACCATTTGTAACGGCTTAAACCCCTGCTAGATATTGTAATCTTTGGACTTTCCCTTTTATCTTCTACTCAACATTTCTATTAGGTAGAGATTTTCACACCCTTATAAATAATGAGGCTTCGTTTTACTATACACCGAAGGGGGATCTCATATCTGTTTTTGAAGAAGAGAGCATTGTAATGGTTGTGAGTGGTGGTGGCAGTGGTGAATGACACAGCCCCTGACATTGCATGCCATACCCACTCTCTCATGTCTCATTTGATGTCCCCACTCTGAAAAAGGCATCACAATGGGCGACCTCCAAAGCCCTCTTCTTTCCCCCCCTTCCTTTTTCTCTGCGCTTTGGGCATTCATCTTTTCCCCCTATTTTCATGACAAGTCCATATCTACAGGGAGCTCAAACTGCCCAAGTGCCAAACTCATCCTCTTTCTCTCTTCATTGTCTGTCCCCTTTCCCCTTTTCAACTTGGGGAGCCTTCCTTCCAACTACCCATCTTTGCTTTTTGCTTTTTGCTTTTGGATGATCTAGCATGAGAGGTT